AATTCCTGTCCAATAGGAATGCTGTCTAAAAGCCCAGGATACTCCCCACCACACCCCACCCAAATATCCACTGTGTGCTCAGACTGAGGCAAAAATAAAATCAAACCCACTTCTGTCAAGTCAATTCCGACTAATAACGATCCTGGAGACAGAGTAGAACTGTCCCATGGGCTTTCCAAGGCTGTCAATCTTTATAAAACCTTTACACAAGCAGACTAACTCATCTTTCTCCCATGGAGCAGCTGGTCGGTTTGAACTGCCCAATGCTTCAGTCATCTTTCAGCCTTCTACAGAGTTGAGAAGCTGAACTATATGAAAGGGAATGTGGTATCAGGATTGGAGGAAGAACCATTAACAACCTGCAATATGCAGATGACACAAGCTTGCTTGCTGAAAATAAGATGATTTGAAGCACTTACCGATGAAGATTGAAGACTACGGTCTTCTGTGTGAATCATACCACAACATAAAGAAAACAAAAATCCTCACAACTGGACCAATAAACAACAGCATGATAAACAGGGAAAAGATTGAGGTTGTTAGGGATTTCATTTTACTTGGATCCACATCAACACCCATGGAAGCAGCAGGCAGAAAACCAGACATCATATTGCACTGGGCACATCTGCTTCAAAAGACCTCTTTAAAGTGTTGAAGAACAAAGATGTTACTTTGAAGACTAAGGTGTGCCTGACCCAAGTCTTGGTCTTTTCAATCACTTCATATGCATGTGAAAGCTGGACAATGAATAAGGAAGTCCAAAGAAGAGTTGATGCCTTTGAGTTGTGGTGTTGGCGAAGAATGCTGAAAGTACCATGGACTGCCAGAAGAACTAACAAATCTGTCCTGGAAGAAGTGCAGTGGGAATGCTCCTTAGAAGTGAAAATGGCCGGGCTTCATCTCACCTACTTTGGTCATGTTGTCAGAAGGGATATATCATGCTCAGTGAAGTGGAGGGTCAGCAAAAAAGGGGAAGACCCTCAAGATGGGTTGACACAGTGGCTGCAGCGATGGGCTCAAGCATAGCAATAATTGTGAGGCTGGCACAGGACCTGGCAGTGTTACGTTCTGTTGTGCACAGGGTTGCTATGAGTCAGAGCCAACGCAACAGCACCTAACAACAACCACATGAAGTTGAAGATGCAGTTAAGGAAATGGTTTGAAGTTACTTTTTTATGTGCAGAACACACAGAAATGGTTGAAAATACCCATCACCTACCATTGTTGTTGTTGTTGTTGTTG